GCCTTTTTAACAGATGGTGTTGGGAGAACTGGACAGCAACATGCAGAAGAATGAAACTAGATCATTTTCTCACACCATGCACAAAAATCAACTCAAAATGGATAAAGGACCTGAACGTGAGACAGGAAACTATCAACACCCTAGAGGAGAAAGCAGGAAACAACCTCCTTGACCTCCACCGCAGCAACTTCTTACTTGACACATCCCCAAAAGCAAGGGAATCAAGAGCAAAAATAAACTGTTGGGACCTCATCAAGATTAAAAGCTTCTGCACAGCCAAGGAAACAACCCAGAAAATTAATAGGCAACCAACGGAATGGGAAAAGATAGTTGCAAATGACATATCAGATAAAGGGTTAATATCCAGAATCTATAAGGAACTCACCAAACTACACGCCCGAAAAACAAACAACCCAGTGAAGAAATGGGCAGAAGACATGAACAGACACTTCTCCAAAGAGGACATCCAGATGGCCAACAGACACATGAAACGATGCTCAGCATCCCTCCTCATCAGGGAAATACAAATCAAAACCACACTGAGATACCACCTCACGCCAGTCAGAGTGGCTAAAATGAGCAAATCAGAGAACTCTAGATGCTGGCGAGGATGTGGAGAAACGGGCACCCTCCTACACTGTTGGTGGGAATGTAAACTGGTACAGCCCCTCTGGAAAACAGTGTGGAGGTTCCTCAGGAAACTAACAATAGAACTCCCTTATGACCCAGCAATAGCACTGCTAGGAATTTACCCAAGGGATACAGAAATGCTGAGGCATAGGAGCACATGTACCCCAATGTTCATAGCAGCACTCTCCACAATAGCTAAAACATGGAAAGAGCCTAAGTGTCCATCAACAGACGAATGGATCAAGAAGATGTGGTTTATCTATACCATGGAATACTACATGGCAATGAGAAAAAATGAAATCTGGCCATGTGTAGCAACATGGATGGACCTTGAGGGTGTTATGCTGTGCAAAATAAGTGAGGCAGAGAAGGACAAATGCCATATTTGCACATATAGGAGGATGAGGAGGAACTTAACGGAGTTCCATGGGGGAGAGAAGGGGGAAGTAGTGGGGGAGAGGGAGAGAGGCAAACCGTGAGAGACTCTTGAATGCTGAGAACAAACTGAGGACTGATGACTATGGGGGGGAGGGAAAAGAGGGTGATGGGCTTGGAGGAGTACACTTGTAGGGATGAGCACTGGGTGTTATATGGAAACCAACTTGACAATAAACTATTTAAAAAAAAAAAAAAGAAAATCCGCATAAAAAAAGAAACAAAAAAAAAAACAATAAAAAAATAAAATAAAATTTTAAAAAAGCAGCCAGAAAAACCTGAGTTGGTCCACACATGGTTGTGAGGGGATTGCCAGTTCTGAGCAAAGCTTTGGAATCCAGAGGGAATGAGGTTTCACTTTCTTTGCTTGCCTTTGGTTTCCTAACGTCACTGTGTGAAGTTGGGCAGGCAGCCAGCTGAGTTCAGGGAAAAAGGTAATCAAAGAGGAAAAGGGAGACTGGGCCAGGACGGGGGAGGGAGGGCTGTGCTAGGTGGGAGACAGCGTTTGTCTAGCTCTAGTGAGGAATGTGCTCACATGCAGGAGTGGGGGTAATGACAACCAGCTCTGTGGACTCCTGTCAATATCAATGAGCCTGCTGGCTCTGTGAAACTCATTCATACAAAATCAGGTGTGTTTGTCTGCCTAGGCCTCCGTGTGTTTATGGAAAGCATTCACAGCTCTCACCAGATTCTCTTAACATTTTTTAAATGTTTATTTATTTTTGAGAGAGAGAGAGAGTGAGTGGGGAAGGGACAGAAAGAGAGAGACACAGAAGATGAAGCAGGCCTAAGGCTCTAGCCATCAGCACAGAACCTGATGGCAGGGCTCAAAGCCATGAATCATGAGATCATGACCTGAGCCTAAGGGGGACGGTTAACCAATTGAACCACCCAGGTGCCCCACTCACCATATTCTTAAAAGGCTCCACCACCCAGAACAGGTTGGAACCAATCTTTCACTTCACACATGAAGAATCTCAGGCCCAGAGAAGGTAAGCAACCTGCTCAAGATCAGCACTGATCAGCAATAGCACTGCATGTGAATCTAGCCGTTTGACTCTAAAGAGTGCAGGCACTCACTAGAGTACCTTCTAATTCTAGAAGACTAAGCCATCATGAATTTAGCATCTATCACATCCTAAAGTTTGGTGGAAAGCAAGAGGAGAATTTAAAAAATGACTAGAAATGAAAAATCATAAATCTTGTTACTGTGTTCAGGGAGTTAAGAAAAGACCAGTGCAAAGGTGACTTACAATAGAGGAGGATTTTTCTTACTTGCTATTGTCCAGTACACACACACACAGCAGAAAGGATCACCAGGATTTATTTATTTATTTATTTATTTATTTATTTATTTATTTATGTTTTCAATGTTTTATTTATTTCTAGGAGAGAGAGAGAGAGAGACAGCGTGAGCAGGGCAGGGTCAGAGAGAGACGGAGTCACAGACTGAAACAGGCTCCAGGCTCTGAGCTGGCAGTCAGGACACAGCCCGACGCAGGGCTCGAACCCACGAACCGCGAGATCATGACCCAAGCAAAAGTCGGACGCTTAACCGACTAAGCCACCCAGGCGCCCCAGGATCACCAGGATTTAAAGAGGAAGATCATGTTGTTCCATCTCTGATTTCCCCTCACTTATCTCAGCTAGTGTCCCAACTCAGCATATTTGGTATCCAGGAAAATACTCTGCTTTCTTCCTCAAAGAGGGAAACTGACTGAGATCAGAAAAAGGAAACAGAAATGGAGCTCACATGGAAAAGCTGAACCTTAGCAGAAGTTTCAGGATTTCTCTAGAAATAGTGCAGTGTAACAGAAAGTCTATGAACCCAGACAGACTTGGGTTCAATGTTGAGTTCTACTTCAGACCTTAAGCAAGTCACTTAACCTCTCTAAGCCTCCATTGACCCATCTGCTTCAAAACACACTTGCTGTGAGAAAGCTCACTAATTATATTAATTGGAAGTCTGATCTATACTGCTAAAAAGCCTAAAGTATAGAATATCCCAAAGGGACTGCCATTTTCTTACTCTTGATAATAACCTGATAATAATAGCTAATGTTATTAAGTACTTAACATGTGTCAGACATTGTACTAAGAGCATTACAAGCACGAACACATTTATAGGAACTTAATTGTCTTAACAGTTGTGGAAGGGACCATAATTATTATCCCTGGTTTATAGACAAGGAAACTAAAACCAGAGAGATGATATAACTTGCCAAAGACTGTCTTAAAAATGGGAAAAATACCAAAGCCCCAGCTCTTGGCCACCAGGCTACACAGCTCCCCATATGTTTGGTAACTAAGGGGACTATGTGAGGGGAACAATTAAAAGAGGCAGGCCATTTGTGTGTGGATAGATGAATGTTTCCAAAGTACTTGCAATGAGTACTTTAAATGAGATGACCAAGTTTTTCAAAACTGCGTTTCTATTGTAACCTGTTTCATGAGTCATGAGGAAGGAAGGAGAGGCTTCCTATGACAAGCTTAGGAGTAGCATGTGGCACCAAGTCTGGGATGCAGTAACTCTTAGTGGAAAAGGCTGGAGCCTGATAAGAGTCAGTGGAAAAAGCTGGCCCTGGCCATCAGAAGCATCTTAGTTCAGTCCCACTAATCAGCCATGTGACTCTGAGGACCTTAATGACCTCTTCTATACAATGAGAAAAACCACCCTTCCTCAAAGTCACTGTGAGGAAGAAATGAGATGAGGCCTTTCCATTTTGGATGATTCAGTCACCTTCAGATACCAAGTTACATATGTCACAAGAGATAGCTAGAAAACGTTCTTGGTAGAAGATTGCATTTCTTACGCTACACTTTTTAAAAATGTGTTTGCTATTGTTACTGTCAATAGACAGTTTTCTCTTAGATAATTCAGAGGTCAACCTCAGTCCAGTCCAGGTCTGTCACTACTATGAATTATCCAAATCAGGAATTGATGAAGATTTATTGTACCCAGGTCTTCGGAATGGAGTAAGGACTCTGTCTGTAATCAAGACCACTGCATGGGTTCAGTTCAAGGATGCCCCCCAACCATGAAGATATTCACAGTAAGCAGTACTGAGTGGGCAGAGCACTGAAGCAAGAACAACAGCACCCAGGTTCTGATCCCATCGTTCATCGGCTATGTGTTCTTAGCAAATCACTTCTCCCTGGACCTCAATTTCCTCCCCTGCAATTGAAGAACATGGAAGAAATAATCCCTAGGGTCCTCTGCAGCTTTCAAATCTGTAACTTTTGTACCCATGAAGACCTTAGGAATGAGATGGGATCCCATCATTTACAGATGAATGTTTTCATCTGTAAAATGGGGAAAATGAGCATAAGGACAGTAAAGGAGTTGACACCTGTAAAGCCATTAGAATAATGACTGGAACCATAGGATGAGTGTCCTCACCTCCTTTGGGGGCTATATGTCACAGAACCCTCCCTTTCCCAATCAAGCATTTTATGAATAACACTCTTCCATGAATGAGAGGGGAAATACAGATTTGTAATGCATAAGCAATAACTTTGAAAGCAACCAAATAAACACCCAGTTGTTTCAAATCCATCCTAACTGCGTCCTTCTGACCCCAAGGAAGCAGCATCCTGACCTCTGATGAGGATCTCTGCCCTAGAAGAGGAAGCTGAGGATGCCATCAGAGAAAGATTTTTCCACCACAAATGCCTATACTAGCTCTTCTGGAGGGCAAAGGAGGAACTGATGGATGAGCTCACTCTGGATCAGAGGCGGTGAGGAGGAGAGAGAGTGAGTCTAAAATTTCTGGAGCCTATTGTAGTTTTCTTTTTCGTTTTGTGGAACTTCACTTATGATATCAACCGGTGCGTGGCTGCTGTTTTGGAAACTCCCCTTGGGGGGTGGGTGGGAGGCTCCCTCTACTGGCCTGACTATAAAGGGCCAGCCTGAGCTGCAGAGAATCCCTGCAGAGGATTCTGAGACAGCAAGTGGATCTCCCACAGCCTCCACCCACAGGTACCATGAAGGTCTCCGCAGCTCCCTTTGCAGTCCTCCTCGCTGCTGCCGCCTTCTGTGCTCCTGCCTCTGCCTCTCCATGTAAGTCAAGTCCTGAACCCTGCAGCCCCTGGGGCCAGACCCTCAGATTGGCCCAGGCTTTGTCCTCTTTTCAACTGCAGTATTTATGCTGTCTGACCCTATCATTTACATTCCTATATACTGCTTTACTCAGACGTTCAGTCATCCCTGTTGGATCTCTAAGCCACTTCATGACAGGGACCCTCTGCTCAACTTTTCTGTCCTCAGGTCTACATGTAAGCCCTTCAGGTGCTGAGTGTGGACTGACGCCGGAGGTATATATAAGCAGTCATAGGCAGCCTAAACTGACCTTGAAACACAGCTAACTCATGCCTATCACCAGCAGGATTTCTAAGAAACGTGTAAGCATTAGTTAGTAAAACCCTCCTGGGACAGTCATACTGTCCCCATTTCATAGATGGAAAAAGTGGGACTTGGGAGAGGATTGTTAAAAAGCCTGGTATGGATCAAGTATTATGCTGATTGCTCTACATACCACATCATTTAATATTTGCAGCTACTATTTGACTTACAGATGGGGAAACAGAGGCCCAGAGGAGTTAAGTAATTTGCCTGAGGTCACACAGCTAGGAAGTGGGGGGAAACTGGTGTTCAAATTCAGTTCTATCTGGCTCTTATACATTCCTACTCTACTGGGAAATGGCAACTGACACTTTCCAGGGTCATCCTGAATTAAGAGACCAAGAAACAGTCCTCCTCCTCTGTTCAGATCCTTCTTACCATGCCTCAGCCAGAAGCTCCCAGGATGCAATACATATCTTCAGGCCCCTCTTATGGGTTGATGCTGAGCCATGAAGTGTGAGTTTTAGAAGCCTCTCCCCACCCTGCTGTAGCTCTCAAAGAAACCATGCTCTGAATCCATTGAGGATCCCAGGAAGGCAAGAATAAGGGCAATGGGCTCAAGACAAGCCAGGAGGAAACCCAGCATGTCAGTAGGACTGAAGGCAGAGAGAGGGTTATGGTGTTGAGGGAAGGATCCAAGCAAGACTCAAGGATTAGATCAGGGGTTGTAGAGATCCTCTCAGTCCTCTGTCAGAGTCTCCACTCTGCTACTGTGTGTCCATGGACAAGTGACTCTACCTCTCTGAGCCTCAGTTTCAGCCAAAGGAGGATAATAGTCTATCCAAGATGACATACTCATCACAATACCCCATGTGCAATGGCAATAAATACAGGGGTCTCCTTTCTTTCTCCTACCAGATGCCTCGGACACCACCCCCTGCTGCTTTGCCTACCTCTCCCACCCACTTCCCCTCAGGCACCTCCAGGAGTATTTCTACACCAGCAGCAAGTGCTCCATGCCAGCAGTCGTGTGAGTCTCAGCCCTGTGGACCCTCTGGGAAGAGAGGGGGGTGAGGAAGGGACACCTTTTGTCCCAGAGCATCCCCCACAGAAGCCCTCTAAGAAGGTGCCCTATCAATAAAAAAGGGGCACAGAGGAAGACCAAAAAAAAAAAAAAAAAAAAAGGTGCCCTATCTGCTCCCAACCATCCTCCAGCTGTCCAAGAGCCATAGCTCCTCCCTCTGAGGCTTCAGATCTCCCCTGCTCTCACACAGGATTAGACAGGGGTCCCTAGGGGGTCCTCTCCACTCTGATGTCCTGGGTCAGGTCTCTGATCTTTACGGAAGTGACTTTTATTTTACTGTGATCTACAGCACTCCTGTGTGGAGAAAAAACAATGTGGTCATACCTCTTCAATTAAGAACCCCACATTCCCCCATGTCCCACACCCAATCAAATCCACCTACAACCTCAGAGGATCTAGGGAGGACAGGCCCTAGTTAGAGTCAAGTTGTTAAAAAAAACATTATCCATTGGTGAGGAAGTAATAACATGAGATTTTCTTTTAAATATGCAAACTAATACATTTCAAAAAATTAACACTTCCTACTACCTAGAAGTGCCTGCTGTGTATCAAATGTCTTCTGTATGTTATCTCTAAATTTCATGGTAACAACCCTGTTAGGTATGCATAATTTTCTCCATTTTTCAGACAATGAAACTGAGACCCAGAGAGGTCTGGGGACTTGCACAAGGTTGCAAAGTGAGGGATAGAGATTCTCTTTAGAGCCTCCTCTTTCTACTATAGAAAGGTTAATAGTGACAGTTGCTTTAGAAATTTAAGATGAGGGGTGCCTGGGATTTTCTCTCTCTCTCCCCCCACCCCCAACTTGCACTTACTATCTCTCTCTCTCTTTCAAAATAAATACATAAAGTTTAAAAATTTTTTAAAAGGATTTAAGATGATAGAGACTTAAAGAACACAAATGGGCAATCATGAAGTTTCCTATATAATGGTTAAGTTTTTAAATCCAAAAACTCCTGGGACACTTACAAAGCTATAAGTATTCAGCATTGCCTTTAGTTCTGGTGCATCCTTTGAAGTCAGTGGTAATATTTAGCACTACTAATTTTATCTCTGACAGCAAATATTTTTAAAAGAAAACAATCCTTTAAGCACCTGTTATAGGCAGCTAGAGATTAATAAAGCACCCTCCCTACCCTCATGGAACTCAGTCTAATCTGAAGTAAAGACAGATGCAGAATGACTAGAGCAACCCTGAATAAAAACATTACAAAAGGAGAGCAGGAGCATATCTAACCTCAGGGTTGGAAGAAGGGACTCAGGGGAAGTTTGCTGCAGAAGGTGCTGTTTGAGAAAAGCCTGAGGGACTGGGTACACTAGGCAGAGCGAATGTTGCCAGGACTCTCCTTTGGTTGACACAGCATCCCCATGTAGAAGAGCACTTGGGCCTTGAGTGTCAACACAATGATGCTAAAGCATCAGGGTGAGTGTTAAATGAATTGGAAAGTCAGGTCCAGATAAGAGGCTGTTATGCTTATCCACACGAGCGGTATTGAGGCTGAACAGGACACAAAGGGAAGGAGACAATGGCAGAATTGGCCAGCCCTGGCAAGGTGATGTAAGGTCGGGAGAAAAGATGACAGGGGGGTTAAGGATGACACAAAGGTTTTGACCCAGACAGCTGGAGAAGTGTGGAGCCACCTGAAGTCTCAAGGAAGAGTTGTTTAAAGAGGAAAGAGCTAAGGTGCCAGCACGAAAACTCTGTGGCAACGTCCAGCACGGAGTGTGAGAGGAGGGGGTGGTAGCTAGGAAACAGTGGTGGGGCTAAAGATAGGGCTTTTAAAAAAAAGTTTTTAAAAATGTTTATTTATTTTTGAGAGAGACAGAGTGCAAGTGGGGGAGGAGCAGAGAAAGATGAGACACAGAACCCAAAGCAGGCTCCAAGCTCTGAGCTGTCAGCACAGAGCATGATGTGGGACCGAACCCACGAACCTTGAAATCATGACCTGAGCTGAAGTCAGATGCTCAACAGACTGAGCCACCCAGGTGCCCCAGATTTTTCATAGAGGAGGAAAGGGTCCCCTAATATGAGGGTGGAAAACTATAGCACAGTGTTGGTGAGCACTGGCTCCAGAGCTAGTAGCCTTTGTTAGAATCCCAGCTCTGCCCCTAGGCATTTGCAGGAGTGTGGACCATCAGTTAACCTCACTGAGCCTCCATTTCTTCATCTGCAAAGTGGAGTGAAGTAGGAGTTCTTCCCTCGCTGGGTCAAAGTGAGAATAATGAAATGAAAAATGAAATTAGAATGTTTCCTGGTACACAGTTGGTGCCTGATATGTGTTAACTGCTCTTCCTCCTCCAAGTGTATGATTATATACATAGAGGTGACAAGTAAAACTTGATGATTGAATGCATTTCGTTCACTAACTCATTCAATAAACATCCATGAAGTCCTAGGGCCAGAGACTTGGGGGAAAAAAAAAAAGAAACACAGAGGTGTGCCTGGGTGGCTCAGTAGGTTAAGGATCCAACTCTTGACTTCGACTGTGGTCATGATCTTGAGGTTCATGGAGTTCAGGCCCCTCATTGGACTCTGTGCTGATGGTGCAAAGCTTGCTTGGGATTCTCTCTCTCCTTCCCTCTCTGCCCCACCCCTCATGCTTTCTCTCTCTCTCTCTCTCTCTCAAAATAAATAAACATTAAAAAAAAAATACAGGGGCACCTGGGTGGCTCAGTCAGTTAGGTGTCTAATGTCAGCTCAGGTCATGAGCTCACACTTTGTGAGTTTGAGCCCCGCAATGGGCTCTCCAGTGTCAGCACAGAGCCTGCTTCAGATCCTCTGTCTCCCTCTCTGTGTCCTTCCCCCATCTCTCTCAATAATAAATAAAAACATTAAACTCACACACACAAAAAAAAGGGCAGCAATTGTGAGAACCCCTGCTCTCAAGGAGCAGGTGAAGGTGGTTGTTCCCAAGAGAGCAAGCAGTAAGGCAGGAGGGAAGTCAGGCAAGTAGGGGGTCCCCAAAATGGGGGCAGGGAAAGAAGCTTGGCCAGGAGAGGTTATTCTTCAGTCTTGCATTCTTTAGGAGGAAATGGAGGCCTGAGAAACCCTTACTCCAGATACTCATTTCCTGCCCTTTTGATTTCCTGGCCACAGGCTACAGGGGCTGAAGTGAGAGGATAGCAAGTCTACAGGATTTCCTGTCTGACTTCTGGCTGAACAACGGCAGGGTTGTGGTTTGAAGCTCTCTCACCACCCCAAATCAGAAAACAAACACTAGGAGGCACGAGAGCCCACAATATTCTACTCCCTCCCTCTTCTCTGCACACTAGAGTGGAAGAGAGATGGTCAAGTGGCTCTGACTCTCAGAAAAGAAGAGGCAGCTTCCTTGAGCACAAACACTATCCAGGACAGAGCCTAAAAAGAAACCAAGAAATTCTCGTTCTCACTAGACAACCTAAGCCTTCACTTTGAAAACATTTGGGCTCATAATGCTTGGAGAAAGATCCAAGTAGACAGGCTTTGATAACGCATGCCGTCAACACCTGTAGAAATAAGGCCTCTCACTCTCAGAGGCCTCTGCATTCTAGTTGGTTAATTGGTAGAAGTGCTTTGACACTGGCAATATCTCATGGCCTTCATCCTCTCTGAGCAAGACGCCCAGTACGAGGACCTTTGGTGTCATGTTGGTCTGATCTGTCTTAAAGATGAGGTCCCAACATTCCAATATTAATACATGTGTGGTATTCCAAAACACACATGCTTAGTTTCACAACAACAGGGCAAAGTAGGAATTATTTCTATCTATATTTTATTAAGTTTATTTATTTATTGGGGGTGGGACAGAGAGAGAGAATCCCAAGAAGGCTCTGCATTATCAGCATGGAACCCAACTCAGGGTTCAGTCTCATGAACCATGAGATCATGACCTGAGCCAATATCAAGAGTCTGACATTTAACCAGCCATGCCACCCAGGTGCCCCTCTCTCTATATTTTAGAGGTAAACAAATAGAATCAGAGGCCCTAAGTTATTTGCCAAGTTTAGTAAAATCAAGACTCAGGTTTATGTCCTGTCATTCACCAATGCACACGTAGATGTACTCATTTGTTGAGTATCTACCCTGTGCCAGACACTATGTTACCTAAAGCCAAATCACATGGTTACCACTTCTTATGTCTCACTTAATCAACCATCACTCAGTTCCTAGAAGACACCTCTTTTGCTCTGCATCTAGAGCACCCAGCACAGGGTCTGAAACAAAGAAGTTCAGATAAAAGGTTGACCAGCTCAACACTGGAGTCCTCAGTGTTTGTGTGGGGGTTAAATTGCACACAGATCTGCTTCTGGCTCAGAGCATATGACCCAAGAGAATAGGAAACATCCTTTCCTTAAAAGCTACAAATCCAATCTTAATGGAGCTCCAAGAATGCCCCAGCCCAGTGCCATCATCCCCAAACGTGGCTGTGCAGGTGCTGACCAGGTTTCATCCTATTCTCTTCTCCCACAGCTTTGTCACCCGAAGGAAGCGCCAGGTGTGTGCCAACCCACAGAAGAAATGGGTGCGGGACCACATCAACTCTCTGGAGATGAACTAGGATGGAGGGCGCCTCGAACCTGAACTTGTGCAGTTTCCTGCTGCTTCTTCCTCATGTCCTAACCAGCATGGGAGACTCCCCACCAATGCCCTACTCCCACTCCCTCCTGGGAGGGTGAAGATTCTACCACCAATCAGCAGTTATAAAAGCCTCCTCCATCTAAAGCTTCCAAGAGCTCCTAAGGCTCTGCCTTATATACAGAAAGTCTCTTGGCTCTGAGCTTCAGGCCCCTCAGCTTGGCTGCAGCTCTGCCATCAGAAAGGAAGTTAGCACGTCTCTGGAGGTGAAGATGGGAGGAAGACTGGGCTTCCTGTGGCCAAAGCTAGCTCCCCTTTCAGTCCTTCACTGTGAAGGGCTGACTGGCAAATGTGAGAAATCAGCTTTCCATTAAAATTCTCAGTGCAGTTACCAAGCGGGCTCCTGGTTTGATTTTGGATATTTGATATTGAATTTAGCTGTCATATCTTTTAGTGTCTTCTAACAGACTTTTTTGTTTTCAAGTGTTTTTTTTTGTTTTTGTTTTTTTTTTTTTAGGAGTTCAGATAAAATCTTTGTAGAATATTTCATACTTTGGATCTACCTGATTGTTTCTTCGTAATTAGATCCAGGTCAAACATTTTTAGCAGGGATACCATATGGGTGACACCATCTTTCTCAGTGCAGCACATCAGGGTACATGTCAGCCTACTGGTGGTGATGTTGAGTCTGATGGCCTGGTGGCCCATGTTTTCTTGCCACAGCCAGCTCCCTGCTGCGTGCCAGGCACTATGCCAGGCATGGAGGTTGGGGGTGGGGAGGGTTGGAGAGGTGAATGTGCCACAAGCCACAATCTTTACCTTTAGGCAGATTAAACATAGGATATACACCTAAAAGGAAGCAACTGTTCAAAAGGCTGCAGTCACACTGGGGTGGAGGTGGCAGAGGGGAAGGATACCACTGAAGGAAGTGAGGAGGGGTGCCAGGCAGGCAAAAGAGACTTCAGAGATGAGATAACATTTAGATGAAGTTGGAAAGATTGGAGAAACCATTTAGCAGGTAGGAAAGGAAAGGAATTTCATATAGAGGGAACAACATATGCAAAAGTAGGAGGTCTGGAAGGCAGCTCCTCACCACACAGACAAGAGCCCTGTCTATTGCTGCCAAGGAGAGAGGTGTGTATATAAAAGGGGCTTTCCCATTCTGCCATTTTCCTGATGACTAATCCTAAGAACCACCTGCCCCTTACATGGGCTGATGTGAGCTTGACAGTTCACCAAATGCTTTGACTTTCTTTCATATTTATGCCTTACCACAGCCCCTCTGACTCCCAGATGGACATGCCTTTCCAGATTTTCAGATGAGGAAACTGAAGCTCCTAAAGGTAAAGTGACTGGTTCAAGGCAACGGGCCAGTAGATGCCAGGGGTTGGGGGCGGGGCTTGAGAATGGAACCAGAATCTTCCATTTGCCTAGGAGACCTGGTTGCTCAAAACATTCAGAAGCTTCTACCCACAGAAGCCCCAACTCCTTACCAATCCCTCTTGTGCCACAGAGGAGAGGTCTCCCCTAGCTGTGCCCCCACATTTCCCAACAGCCCTGTATTGCCCTCCCTGGGCTTCCTCTGGCCCCACGAGAAGAGAATGGCCTACGAAAAACCAGCTGATATCCTTGACATCTCCAGGTCAATGTTCAAGTACCCATGGCTGGAATACCCAGAGAGGACCAAAGGTGAGATTGGAATAGACAGGAACAGAGTCAAGGTGGGGCTTGAAAAGAAAAGCTCTCTGGCTCTCTGAGACACAGATCTAGTGAGTTCTACAAGTCCACAGGAAGGGTTGGGGCAGGCCACTGGACACTTTGATGGCTCCCCACAGCCTTCAAAGTAAGTCTCCAGGGCCTCAGAATATGGGACATCGAATCCCCCCAGCTTCTGCTCCCATATCTGCACCCTGCTCTCTACCCAACTACCCACCTCTCAGTCTTTGAAAGAATTTGTTCCCTGAGCCTAACACTCTTCTCCCTTATCTATCTGGCTAACCCCTACATGGATTAAAGACTGAGCCTGTCTATGATCACCTCTGGAAAGCCCTCCCTCATCCCCTGAGCCAGGGTAGGGGGTCTCCATCTATACCATCTGTGCCTGTATCTTCACATTTGTCTCCCTTTGTTAATCACTAATAAACAGTTCTGTCTCACCAGGTGGACCAATGGTTCTTAAAGTGTGGTCCCAGGACAAACAGCATCTGTATCTTGTTAGAAAATGCAAATTCCCAGGCCCCACTCCAGATCTACTGAATTTATACTCAGACTAAGTGCCAGAAATCAATTTTAACAAGCTCCCCAGATGATTCTATGGCACACTCAAGTTTGAGAACCACGAGAACCATGAGAAACATGTTTCTCAAGTGTTGAGAAACAAGACCACTGTTTTTCACTGTCATCTGCATGTTAGAATCATCTAGGGAGGGGTGCCTGGGTGGCTCAGTCAGTTAAGTGTCCAACTCTTGGGTTTGGCTCAGTTCATGATCTCATGGTTCATGAGTTTGAGCCCTGCATCAGGCTCTGTACTATTGGGATTCTCTGTCCATCTCTGTCCATCTCTCTCTCTCTCCCTCCCTCCCTGTCTCTCCCCATCCCTCTCTCTATGCCCCTCTCCAACTTGTGCTCTCTCTCTCAAAATAAATAAATAAAAACTTAAGGGGGAAAAAAAAGAATCCTCTGGGGAACTCTCTGAAATATCTAAGCCCTATCCCCAGAGAATTGGATTCAATTAGCCTATCATAGGGCCAAGGCAGGTTAAAAGTTCCCCCCAATAATTCTAATACACAGTGTTCACTAAATGCTGAATAAGTGAATGCCTAAAAGGTGATTCTTAGCCCACCCTTTGTACCACAGAACTCAGAAAAGCCATGGCTCCTGTTCACCTGCCCTTGTCCTGCTACCAGGTAAGACCCTTAACTTTTGCCACCCTGGGAACTTTGTTGAAGTAGGAGGGTCAGCAGATGGTCCCTTTTCATTAAGACCAGTTCACAGAACCCCTACATTCACCCCTGGGGCTTCCACTAACTGTGTGGCCTTGGACAAGTCACTTTCCCTCCCTGAGCCTCAGGAGTTTCCTCTGTCATAGGCTCCCTGTGCTGCTCCATTTGTAGAGTTGCTACGACATATTATCCGTAAAGCCTGGGCTATGCAGGTAGTGTTTAATAATGCATCATTTTTATTCACTACCACAGGGATCCTCATAGTTAGAGTGGCCAGATAAAATACAGGATGCCCAACTAAATTTGAATTTCAGATAAATAATGAATTTTTTAGTATAAATATGTGCCAAATAGGGTATCCAATACCTAAAATCTAAATTTAACTGGACGACCTGTTTTATATTTGCTTGGTTTTTACTAAATCTGACAACACTGCTCATTGTGAGTAAATACCACACTTTCTGAAATCATGGTAATCATTTGACAATCTTTACTATGATCTTCTCAATCACCAAATTGAAAACCACTGGCTGAAGCCCCTCTTCTTTGTTGCTCAGAGAACTGACTCTGAGGAAGACTGGAGAAGAAATAGGAATGAATTCAAGCTGAATCTGCAGAGAAAGCCACTGACTCATCCACAACCCTCCACTACAATCAGAGCTACAGTTTCACAACTGTTTAAGAAATAATTTTTTTTAAGTTTATTTATTTTGTGAGAGAGCATGCACAAGAGCGGGTGAAGGGCAGAGAAAGAGAGAAGAGAGAGAGAGAGAGAGAGAGAGAGAGAGAATAAATCCCAGGCAGGCTCCATGCTGACACAGGGCTCAATCTCCTGAACCTGAGATCATGACCTGAGCCAAAATCAAGAGTCAGGCATTTAACTGAGCCACCCAGGTGCCCCTAAGAGATAAATTATTTAAAGAAATTCTGCTTTTCCAACCAAACTGTTAAATTCCATGACAGCAGGGATAAAAACTGCCTCCCCAGCACCTAGCACAGAGCTTGACACTCAGTGGGTGCTCAGTAACTACCTGCTGCATGCCTGAATGAAGGAGCAGTAGCCTGTCTTTTCCCCTCTTTACTCCATATCTGTCTCACCCCTTGCCTTTCCCATCTCCTTGCCCAGATGGCCTTCTCAAAGTGCTCTGAGATTCTCAAATAACCAAACTGTGTACTAAGATTAACAATGGCTTCACAATCTTTATCCCATTTGTCCTTCACAACAATGGGTACAGAAAGAACAAGGATTATTAGCTCCACTCTGCAGATGAGAAGACTGAGATCTTGGTGGATGAAGTAACTTACCCAAGTCACACAATTGGTAGGACATCCCAGACTTTAGCTCAGATGAGAGACTGAAGGACATCTCTCTTACCTAGTCCCCCATCTCCTTTTTTTAATGTTTATTTATTTTAAGAGAGAGAGAGAGCAGGGGAGGGGCAGAAAGAGAGGGAGAGAATCCCAAGCAGACCCCTAGCTGTAAGCACAGAGCCCTACATGAGACTTGATCCCATGAACCACGAGATCATGACCTGAACCAAAATCAAGAGTCAGGATACTTAACTGACTGAGCCACCCAGACGTCCCACCTAGTCCCTTCTTACCCTGGTCCTTTTCCTGGCGGAGGAAGACCCCCTGCCACTACTGTGCCACTCACACCCCCTCGCAGATGCCAAAGGAGGAGTTTCCCCCTAGCCCAGAGTGTTGGAGGGAGCACCCAAGCAAGCCACATTCAGTGCCTTACTGCTACTTCAAGAAGCCTGAGGTCTACACACACTGGCACACCCTATATGATAAGCGACAAGAAAGGGAGGCCCAGAAGATGCTGCGGAAAATGAGAGACCACTGTAGGTGTGCTTTGCCCCTTCTTATTCGCCACACCTTCCACACCTTCTGGGAAAGAAAGGGAGGAGAAGGTACGAGTGGGAGAGGGGGTAGGGCAAGCCCAGCTTACAGATCTGAGAGGACCCTGGGGTAGAAGGAGGTTCATCCATCTTCCTCTGGTCCCATCTCTAAGCTAGGCTGAGGACCAAGGGCAGAGGACCAAGTAGGAGGGAGGGAACAAGGGGACCAAGACTGGCCTATGCAATTTCTCACACAGGCAAATCAAAGAAGGCACCCCCATCCAAAAATCCCATCTCCCTATGAGCAAGCTGACTATAAAATCTCAGATGGGATCCAAGCCTTCAGACCTTACTGGGGACCCCCTGAAGTGGCAAAGATTAAAGGTCAGGGACCATGGTGGGAGGGAGAATGGAGAGACTCCCTTTCTGTGGGTGCCCTTCTTACCTTCAGCCCTCAGTCCCTGCCTGGAAAATGGAGGGAGGAAAGGAAAAGGGATTGGACTGGATGAGCTCCTTTCTGTTTGAAGTGCTACATCTATATTTACCCCTTTCTTCCTTTCCACTGGCTCCCTTGGATGGGCAGGAACTCACAAAAAGCCTGGAATCTCC